TATCTCTAGCAATAATGATAATATTGATTTATTATATATTTCAATATCTTTAATAATAATTAAAATCACATAAAATGTATTGTATATTCCTGGCATCTTTAATAATAATAAAATTTGTCATTGTGAGGATACTATCCATTATTATATATCTATTAATGATATTTTATAAGAGATATTGATAATTATAAGGAGGATGATAAAGATAATAATAATGTTATTAATTATTAATTTAATATCCTCTATATTATTATTATTGTTACCTTAAAAATGATAGATGATTATATTAATGATAATGGTGATAGATGGATAAGGATGAGGATGATATTTCTTATAGGAACGATATCGAATATAGGAGATAGGAATGATAAATATTGATTAGTATATAAATGGTTTATATATTATATTTGCCATTACAAAAAAATAGGATATTCAATTTCGATTACAAAATCCTTAATAATAATAACGACGACAATAATAATGATGATGGTGATGGATAATATTGATTTTGATAATTATAAAATTCATAGTCAATATTAATATATTTGTTTTTTATATATATAAAATGATAATAATATTGATAATAATATTGATAATAATATTGATAATAATATTCTTGTTGATGTATGAGATAATGATGGTGATATTTGATGATGATATTGATAATGATATTAATAATGATATTGAACATGATATTGATAATGGTGATGATGGATAATTATGAGGATGAAGATAATGATAATACCCTTCCTATATGGATAAAGAATATATATAAATATTTATAATAAATATATATAATAAATATAATAATAAATAAAGAAACATATGGTATATAAATTTATTAAATTAATATATATTTTGTATGAGCCTTTATTAAATATTATGATCATTATTATTATGAAATTTGGAATAACTAATTCATTAAACAACATCCAAAACGAAAAATAAAAAAATACTAATTTGTATGACGTTCTTTAATTATTAGAAATAATATAAAATATATATAGATAATATATTTATATTTAATATAAATTTAGAAAATAATAATTAATTTAACCGATATTTTTTCGATTAATATCCTTTAAATATATTATTAATGATCCTAAGAAAGTCATATGGCCGTTGCTGTAGCAAACGAGAAATATTTATGAATAGGAGGTTGTTAAAAATATCAATTCGAGCATTAATTCGTTGATTGCTTCTAGAAAAAGGGTTTATTTCCATAAAAACAAAATACATTTAAGGTAATCGAGGACACGAATATTCAATATGAATAATATTTAGTGATTATTGCCCTCATGATTTTATGGAGCTAGTTGTTGGGTCACAAAAATCTAATTATTTGAGTATATGAATTAGAAATAAAATATTTTATTATTACAGGATAATTTCCAATAACAAAATACCATATATATATATAACAAAACTAAATATTTAAATATAATTAGAATTATCAATATCGTTTCAATTTATGGAAATATTTTCGTCTATTCAATATATATATATATATATTTATTCAATAAATTTCTATATCCAATTCTTAAACTAAAAAATAAAATACAAACCTTAAAATTCGATAAGGGGGTAACCCAATCTTTTTTATATTAATATATCCGGAAAATATATAAAATAAATATATATATATATAAAAATAATAAATAGATTATATAATTATATATATATAATTAAAAATTAATTAAATGATAATTGTTAATTAATATTTATTTTCGAACCATATTATAATTATATATTTTCTTATGTTTAAAGTACAATAAAAGATTATATTATTTAAATTATTCTTTAAAATAATATACGAGGAGAGATTATTATAATATATATATATATATATCCAAAACAATACTTATTTAATATATTATATCTATAATTCGATTTTTTATAATATATAAACACATATTCTTCAAAACATTCTCCTAACCTTAAATTTGATAATTCCCCCCCCCTATCAAAGACTGCAAACAATTAATTCTATTATTATATTATTTTATAATAATATATAATATAATTAAATATATTTAAAAATATAATAAAATTTTAAATAAATTTTTTTATATATATATTATATATATTTATAGATTTAATTAATTTAAATCATAATAATAACTAAAAATATAATATATATATATATATATTAAAATATATATAAATATATTAATGCCATTAATATCAATACCAACAAATAAATCAAAAAGGAAATAAATAAAAAAGAAAAATATAAATAAAAAAGAGAAAAAATAAAAATAACAAAAAACAACGACAAAAAGAATACTATTAAATCATAAAAAGAAATAAAATAAAAAAAATCAAAATAAAGAAAAAATAGAAAGAAAGAAGGAAAAAGAGGAAAGAGAAAAAAGAAAGAGAGAGAAAGAGAGAGAAAGAGAGAGAAAGAGAGAGAAAACGAGAGAGAACAAAAGAAAGAGAGATAGAAAAAGAGAGAATAAAAAAGAGAAAGAAAGATAGAACAAGAATAATTATTTCTAATGGAAATACCCGAGGTGGAGGCAATGGTTCCCCAAAAGTGCCTCCGGTCCCTGGAAAAACCAACCGATGCCCCAACAAAACCTAAGCAAATTATCCCTCATTCTGTGAGCGATAAAGCATCACCAGAGAAAGAGAGAGAAAAAGAGAAAAAGAGAAAGAAAAAACCCTTTAAAAAGAGGAAAAAAAAAGAAAAATAAGAAATATATTTTGTTTTCTCTCTCTCTATTAACAAAGAAAAAGAGAAAGAAAGAGAGAAAAGAGAGAGAAAGAAAAAGAGAAAGAAAGAGAAAAAGAAAGATAAAGAGAAAAAAATAAAGAAATAAAAAGAGAGAGATAAAAAAACAAATAAACAAAAAAGAAAAAGAAAAAGAAACAATCAAAACCCAAACAATCAAAAACCAAAAGAAAGACAAAACGAAAAGAAGAAAACGAAGCTTAAAAGGGGGAGATACGGCACACAACAACGCGGAAGTAGACAAAAAACGAAAGACAGAGACAGAAATAAATAAACATTACCAGCTAGACAAACACGGACACGCGGAAATAAACAGAGAGACACAAAAAAAAGCAAAGAAATTGAGACGAATAACAGACACGGACACATAGAGACAAATAAAGACAAACCGAGACAACCCGAGAGACAGAGAGACACAAACAGACAAATAGAGACAGAGAGGCACAAACACCAAAAAGAAATAGATTGGGATACACAGAGATGCACAAAGATAGACAGAGAAAGACAGAGCTTACGAAATAGATAGATATGGCCACACAGAAACAGACTGGGAAACACAGAGAGAGGCAAAGATACGAAGACACCCGGTACGAAATTTGCACGAAATTTCGATTCGGACAGGTCCCTAAATTTCCCCGAAATTTGGCCCGGTATTTTCTTCGGAAAGCCGCCAAATTCTAAAGGAATTTGCGGGGGTAACGTCCGGAAACCTAAGAGCCGCGTCGCCGGAAACGACCCAAAATTCGGGAAAATTTGGCCGGGTTACGCCGCAGAAGCTCTAAGCAAAATTGCTAAAAACCCCCCGAAATTTCGGCAAAATGCGAGGCCTATGGGAGCTTGTGCCACGGAGAAAAAAAAAACGAGACAAACATAACCGCTCGCCGCAAACACTACGATTTAGCCGGAATACCGCTACAACGGCTTGCCAGTGCACGGGAAATGCGACCTCGGTCATACCGGTTTAAATTAAAAATATATAATGATTTTATTTAATTAATTAAACCATAAAATTAGTATCCTCGAATTTCTCGAATTAAGGATTTAGATTAAATTGCCTATTATAAATCATAAATATATAAAATTAAAAATTCAAAATATAGTTTATATCGATATCATTCCCCATAAAAATATGTTTAGCTAATCCCCATAAAAATATGTTTAGCTAATCCCTTGCCCATCTTATTCCTTCATTCCCCCCACCCCTCCCGCCTCCCTCAATAATATCGATCGGCCCAAGCCTATCCTTTAAATTTTCGGATTAATCGGCGTCCAATTCCATAAGGCTCATTCTTGTCAATCCACCCAAACAAGCCCAGCCCAACCACCCGTCCATTTGAGACTAGTCTCAGGCCCGGCTCCAATCTCAGGCCCGGCTCCAACAAGCAGCCAACCTAATCCATGCAGAGCTATTAACCTAGTCCATGCAGAGCTATTAACGTAGAATACACGCAAGCCAGCCTCACGCCCAGCAAGGCCAATTTGGTGCGTACCACCCACTGGCCAAGCTTGTCTAAGCCGCCAGCCCACCCAAACCATGTGTGGTGGGCTATCACCACAGCTCTGTGTTGCGCATCAAGACTTTCCGCGCAACTTGCGCCAATGACATCCACCACCCAGCACCCAGCGCCACAAGCTCTTGGCTCCATGAGTCCTACTGCATCGCCTTGCCCTAACCTCCGGGATTCCTACGCAACTTCGGCCCGTGACATCAATTAGTCCGACGACGGCAGAACCTGTCCATTCCTGAATCGCCACTTAACCAGCTCTGCTGCTTGAAGTCGAACTACAGACGTTGCGCGCTCGGCTAGGCCGAGGGGGGCAATATGCAGCGTTTACAATTAAAATGATTTAGATTGTCCAACCGCGTCCTTCCTGCTGGTGATGCGGGAAGCTTGCAATCCAGGATGCGCATACAAAACAGGTTGCCCGAGTGCAATTCAAAAGGAATACTAATGGAATAAGACATCTCAAGAAAACACCATGGCAAGGTTCTCCCAAGCTCGGGGCACGTGCGGTCTTGTTTTCATCTGTTGGAAAACTGTTGCATTTTTACTACGTTGCTTGCATAGTTGCTTGAGGAGTGCGACAAAGAAGTGGATGCAGTCTTGATTAGTTCGGGCAAGTATGTGAAACATGCTCTTTTCACAACTCCGCCCCCCATGGCGCCCCCTTCTGTTATAAAAACAAAGCATATCATTGGTCTGAACAACCATCAAACATCCGCCAGGGCTCTTAACTCCTTCAACTCTGCAAAGAATCGTACTTTTCTCCGCAGTTTTGAAAATCGACCTCACATGCTGGCAATTCGCCCCGCAAGATCCCAGGGATGAGACTCTTGAAGGCTAAAATGGTCTGTGTCCTCCAGAAAGGCTGCTTGCGACATGTCTATGCGTACGGTGCCAGCTCCACTTCGACGCACGCGCGTCTGCTTTGAAGAGAATAAGGCATGGGCGCCACGAGGCGAAGCGTTTCCGTGGCCAGGCGCCAGTTGAACGCCTGGGGCGGCGATAGGCTACGCGGCACGGGGCTCAGGTGAAGCTGGAGCGGCAGTCCAGCGCCACCAAACCTCGAAGATTCAGTCCCATGAGAGTCAACTGCTGACCCAAGGCAACCGCTACTTCGAAGCCCCAGCTGTGCCCGCAGAGCACGACTTGCGCGAAAGATGAGCGCATGACAAGCGAAGGCCAACCCACCTGAAGCTGCTCCTCCAAAGGAGACAGAATTGAACAAGAACCCGAGCAGGATTGTAGCAGCGACTGGTAAACTGTTGTGCCATCGGCAGTCCGAGCTGCACCACCAAGCAAAATTATTGAAGCCCTTCGGCTCTTTGGGGAACCTGCTCTGCTGGCGCCAACGCGCTCAACTCAGTGCCAAATCGAGTAGGTACCCGTCGCAAAGTGCAAAGGAGACTTGCAGCGCATGGTCTCAGCGCACTCCCACTTTGAAACCCCCAACTGTGACACGCTTTTCTATGGAAGTCTGGCTAGCACAGCTGACTGTCTCAATAGGACTAGTGTTCCACAGGACAGAAACATACATCGCTGGGCGGTGCCTATTTTGCGCAGCGAATCAGCAGAATGATTCCATCTCTCTGGATGGGTTGGGGCAAACTCTCCAACCAACTGCAAACCTCGATCATGGCAGGGCTCGGCACAGCAGCAAGAGGAGTGGACTTGGCTTTGCAGCCCTCGTTGGCCTTGCCTCCGCCCTTTTCGCCAGGCACACAAAGAACGGCTGCATCCTCCGATGGGCAGCGAGCAAATAAACTCTCGGGAAAGAAGCCGTTCAGCGTCTCACAACGAGAGGCCATGCCAAACATTAGCGCCATGCGCGCGCCAAGACAAAGCTGCTCCAGCCTGCCTGCAAGGCGAGCTTGGCTGAGCCCAGGAATGGGATGCCAGGGCTTGCAGCTGGCCAGCCTCACCGAATGCCCTTTCTCAGCTTTAGGAGCTTGGAGATCCAAGCAACGCATCCGCCCCGCGACGCCTTGCGTGACCTGGCACCGCCAGCTGTTGCCAGAGTGATGCAAGAATTGAGGAGCGCACCATTCAAGGCGGCGCAAAAATGCAGAACATCATGCCGTCCTAGGATAGACGACTTTTGAAAGGTATCGGACGATTCTATCGCAAAGGTCTTGCTCTAAGCCCCCAGAAACGCTATCATAAACATGTCACGTGCGACAAATGGAGCAGCTTCTACGTTTTCCAGAGCCTGGCGCCTACACCAAATGCTTTTGACCGTTGCATGATATCGAGCCTTTGGCTTTGCTGGACGCATTGCGCGCACAAACGTCAAGCTACCTCCTTCCTTGGCCAATACTCGCTAGGAAGAACATTTGCAGCTGCGGCCTTCTGTGCTACACGCACAGTTAATTTGGCATTTTTCCCGGCTGCTTTGAAGGGCCAAGGTTGCAAAGCAGTTGGTGCATTGCTGTATGCCTGCAAATCGCTCCAACACTTGTTCAACCAGGGCAATGGCAGTAAGCCGCATCTCACAGCAAGCGGGCGATTCATAAGCACTTCGCCGGCTCTGAGCTGGTTGCCACCTGCATTCTGCACTCTCGCAGCTCAAACATGTACCCGGCAGGAACCCTTCTTGCAACGAGGCGTGCCAAGATGTGTGAATATCAAAGGCATTCCAAGGCCTGGCGGGACTTGAGTCGCCCCATGGAAAGCTATCAACTCCTGTGAGACTTGTTTTGATTGCCCCAGCTGCTCTTCTAAGCCTTTCCCAAAGTACGCGCTACAGCTTGCTGGGGATCCATGGCTGCAACTCACCGAGTGGACTTCAGATCTGGAAACCATGGCCTGAGAGAAGAACCCAAAGGATGTGGTGGGGACATCCATGAAACATGGCCAATTCAAAGTTCAGCCATGGTGTAACCAAATTCTTGGCGACCTGACCAGTGTCTCTACCGAGGCTCCCTTTCGTGCAGTGGCATGACCCACGGAAGCCTGGAGGGCCTCAACCACAACAGGAAGCCAACGATTGAGGCACGCTGCCGGGCGACGATTTTCAGCCGTTTGAGCTGTAAAGACCAATATTTTGGCGTTGATTCTCCGGGAGCCAAAGGGCGCTTGCTGGACTCTGGGCAGATTCTCTGCTAACACTCCAAAACCAGTGATTTTACAAACCGATGTTCAGTACCGCTGCGCGTCGCGCGCAACACGAAGGCAGCACTGGACTAGTCTTATTCGCGTGCACAACGCACAATCCTAAGACTCATCTTGAGACGGGCTTCACTTGCTCAGAGGCCACATCTGAGAGACCATGACATCCCAAGCAACCCTGTTGGGCGCTGTGCGGCTGTGTGGGGAAAAGATCGAGTTTCGCAGGTCACATGCAGCAAATGCACCCAATGCACCCCACTGCTGGTCTGGCTGCTCTTTTCAAAAGCAAACTGCGAGAGGGTTGCCTTCTAGAGCCCCGCCCCGCGGAAAAATACGTAGAGGCACCCCATGCGTGGCCCTTGCATCCATTTGGGTCTTTTCCAGCCGCTGCCAACCCCTGAAACCCTGCCGTTCATCCTGACTGTTGCCTTGCCATGCATCTGAGCGGTGAAGCTACTATGAAGCACTAGGGCGGATCAAGATAAAAGTCCCGCAGCCATGTGCGGCATCAGTGTCACAATGCACACCGTGCGGGAAAGCAGTTCAAGCACATGTTGAGATTCTGCGGCACGGGCAGCAGTGGCGTCCTAGTTTCATTGGCTGACGGCAAGCGTCAGCTGCGGCTGAGTATTGAGCAGCGTCAAGCGACATGGCCGTGCCGACATGCAAAGCAGCGTTCCTGCAAAAAGATTCCTGTGCGACTTTGGGGTGACATCTTTGAAGCAGTGTGGGCATTGTGGGCATCAGCGTGGTCCTGGACCTGCGTCAGCCCTCAAAAACAGAAGGGAATGGATCGCATAGCCTTCTCAAGAACAAGGCATTGGACTCCGACAAGAGCTCTTGGGCTTCCGCGAGCCGAAGGAGTGACGGTCAATTGGTGAGCCGTTCCATTTTGGTCACGAGTGCTCTGTCGATTTGCAGAACCGCATGGGAGCCTTCATGGGATTGTTTATGGCCGGGGAGTGCTCGCTACCCCAGCCTGCGAAGCAGCAACGCAACTGGCGCCTGTCGTCTTATTCGAAGGCGTCGCCTTCGTCCACACAGTGTAACATGCCCTCTGATCGCCAGCTTCACTTCATGTCACATCAACCACAGTTATATCCTTGGCGCCTCCGTGCCTCTGTCCTCACAGGCAGCAGGAAGCTGCAGAACAAGCTCCCCGGCCCAGCCTGCTCGGTTTTGCTATGGCACCACGCTGTGAGAGTTGGGGGGAGGCGGACACCAAAGTCACACATCTTGGGAATGCCGCGCAAGTCTTCTGCGCTTGAGGCCGGCAAAAAGCCTTCAACTGCCTCGCGAGCGAGCTGCTCCTGGGGCAAAAGTCCTTTTCGCAATGAGCGTCTTCAACACGCTGTGCTCCTGACATGGGAGTCGACGCCAGGGCTGAGTGCAACTTGTTATGGGCCATTTGCCCCTTAGCGAGACTATGCGGCAAGCAGTGGGCACCAAAGAAAACCATGTCAGCACCCTGCTGGCTTCACTGTGCGTTGCTTGCAGGCCAACCACACCACGGACTACCTCAAGGGGATGCTGAGGTTGCCACTAAGGCCATCGTTCCTTTCCTGAACATTGAAAGGTACCTAACGAAGCAGGGGAGATTGAATCTTCTTCGCCCTTGTGGCTGCGCAGCGCCTCCAAGAGGTGTACCTCCTGGCAATGTGTCTTGAGAGTGCTGGACCTACGCAGATTTCCCCCCAGTTTGCCTTCGCAGTGTAGCCCGGTGTGAACATTCCTTCTCCTTCGTGAAAGTCAAATACCTTTCTTTTGCCAACTTGTTCTTTGGGCATGTGTGATCGTGCTACTGTTTGTGCTCAAAGCGCGCAAGCTGCAGCTGCAGCTTGCAAAGGCACTTCTCTTGCACTGGCCGGCGATGGTACATATGGCGCTGGAGTCCCTTTGCTCCTGAAGCGGGGTTCATCCAACATCTTGGCAGCCAACTTCCTAAAACTGAGAGTTTGCAGCCTCGGCTGTCACGCGAGCATATCTGGCTCCGAACGGCCGCTTCACATCCCAGTCTGCCAGTTTGGAACTTGCCAATGATGGCCTCAAGCCAAGAGTTTTGCGCGGCAACTTCCAGTCAGCTTGGCAAAGGGCAAGAGGGAGCCAAACTCGTGGCCCGTTCTCCCTGACAATCCGACAGGAGAAACCATGCTCCACACAGAACGGCTCGTCACAGTGCACATCACGGTCCTTCAAGTTCCAGATCGGCCCTGCACGGGTGCCGCTTAGCTGGTCTCGGGCGAGAAAACGGGCACATGTCTTACCCGCGGCCCGGCAAAAGCGAACATGCCCCCCTATCTTGCGGCGCTCACCAGCTGGCCAGCATCTAGCGGTAGCGGCCTGCATCCGGCCTCGAAAAGGTCAACTCCGCTATCGAGACATCCGAGTTGCAAGCGCGGAGCTCTGTGCGATGGCCAGGTCCCAGCGTGGGGAACACAGACTCAAGAAGCAGCCCTCCCGTCCAAAGCAGCCTCAGCCTTACGCGGACTCGGGCATAAGGCAAGGCACAGTGGCCAAACCTGCAGCTTCTCAAGCTCTGCCGAGGCCCTGTGGCCGACAGGCTCAAGAACCCAAACATTTGGCTTTCAGATTGTAAAGATTCTAAACCTGAGGCCGAGAATGTGAACAAATAACATGACTTCCCACTACGTACCCGGCCTCCGCGACATTGTCCTTAAGGTAGAGGGATCAAGAAGCAATGTGCACTCAAATGTTACGACGCCAGTTCAGGTGGCGACTAATCTCCAGACGGCTTGCATGTATGCTCTCGGCCCCAGTAGAAATATCCAATCAGACGAGGCAAAGAAGCTGTGACCAAGTGCCCTGTGTCATATCTGGGCAGCCCACAGCCATTGTTCTTCCAGCCAGTTGGCCAAGCTGCGGCTCGTCAAAGCTGCACGGCTTAGACTCTCCGAGTCTTCGGGATCCAAGAGGTTGCCACTAGCGACAAAGCTCCAGTGTGTTGAGGACGCTTGCCTGGCACGCCGGGTAGAGCTTGCACCTGGCTAGGTCCGGAAAAGCTTCAAGGCTGTGCATCTGAAACACCCGCTTGCGAACCCATGCGTGGCTGGGCAAGAGCCTTCTTGCATTCGACAGCCAACCGGACACCCAACCAAAAGCGAACGGCAAAGTCTCTGGCCATTCCGTGAAGGCATTGAACACAAGATCTTGGATCTTGAGCATGCACAGTAAAGTGCGGGACACAGCTTAGGGTTGGGCAAAGGACACCCAGGATGCGGGTGTCAATGGTGTCAATGGGTGTCAAGGTCAGGACACCACCCATTTTAGACGTGTCTTTGTTTCGGTCCATGACTTGCGTTTCGCACGACCGGCACTGGGTTGCGCCCGGGACAAAGCTGGTGTGTGCATGGTTGTTTGCTGGTGCGGATGTCAGGTTCAGGGGCTCAATGTTTGCTCAATTGACACAAAATGCCTATCATCGTGTGCTGCCAAGAAGCAGCTGAAACTAGCGGCGGAAAAAACCGGCTGAAAAAGCGTTTCTTAGATTCTAAGGGTAGGAAAATCTGAATACAGTGGAACTGGCTGAAACTACTGGCTATTGAAACACGGCAAGGGCTGCCGGGCTGCCGTCGCAAAGGGCCATTGGCTCTGTCAACCCACGTTTGGAAAATGACCCTTTCATGTCTCTGCCTCATGACGGGTGTCGCCTGGGCGTCTAAAGCAATGACCGCATCAAGTGTTCGCAAAAAGGCTCCGTGCTGAGAGGCTAGTCAGGCACACGTCCTGCAATTGACAACCAACAGGGAGTTCTTATGCACCTGGCATTTCAAGGGTGAGTCTTGCTATTTGCTCTTGTCATTTCCGCGAATCGTCGAATTTCAGCGTCGACTCATCGGAGCCGATGCCTCAAATGCCACTGATTCCCGCGCAGTGCTTCACAGTGCAACCATTGAAAAAGCTATGCGTCTTGAAAATAAAAAATACTGTACTTGGAACTTCTCGCTTCTGTCCTCTCACGTGTACATAGAGTCTCGCTGGCAGGAACAGAATGCTATCCCTAGAGAGCTTCAAAATTCTTCGGGGCTGCTGCACCTCCAACATGGAACCTGGCAGAAGGTCCCTAGAGGACATGAGTCGCCAGGGGGCTTCCCTGAGTTTCCATGCCATGAAGGCTGGCTCCATCATCCACTGAGTTTTGGCATTGTCACTCCATTCAGGGCTACTCGAAGAACATGCCTGCCCGAATCAACAAATAAAGGAACTGGGCAGGCTGAAAACTTCGCTTTCTCTGATCAAACCCAGACGACATCACTAGAGATGACTGACACACCCAGCACTGTGAAGGCTGGCAGCTGGAAGTGTCCTAGTTGTCATCTGCCGAAAGCCGTTCTCCGCATGCCAAAACAACAATTTGACGATCGCCTCAAGGAGCACGCAGTGCTCACGCCATTTATCTCACGGCTTACGAACCACACAGGGATGCATCTTCAAAGGCAAGCACGTGTGGTCCGGCTCCCTCGCTGAGCGCTGGATGGTGGTCCTATGCTTGACCAGCCTACTTGGTCAGCACCTCCGGTTGTCTGTGCCTCTTTGCTTTGACTCACTGCCTCACAAGCTCTTCTTGCACTGCCGGGAGCAACATGGACGCAAAACAAGTGCTAGTTACTCCATGTCAGGCGCAGTGGGCGCGATGCCCAAGCGGGAAGCCAACACATGAGCAACCAAAGGGTTGTTCAAACGTAAGGCTCGAAGAAGGCGCCCTTGCTCTCAACCGCCGGCGTCATGCCGGCAACAGCATGCGCCAAGCCATTGCCAGTAGCAATAATCTCTACAGGGTACTATGTCCATAACAACAATGCCACAACGATGCGCAAAAGGGATGCAATTGCAGCAATGCTGTTCATGATGTGCATGAATCGCTTGATATCAAAGCTAGAGCCTCCAGCATACCCATATCTGCTGCCATTGCACATAAAAGGCCCCTCCCCCTGAGCGCAGCTCTGCTTCTCGTCGTTAAAGGTTCAACATGAGACAATCAAAAGCCTAAACCCTGATGGCAGCGCCCCTTTCTCCTCACCACCGTCCTTCCGGCAGCTGGCGCGCCTACCAGTATACGACACGCAACACCTACTGCCTGAATGCCCAGTGAAGGCACGCCGCCCAAGGCACAAACCTAGAACACCAGCTTGCTCGCCATTCCAAACCGCAAGTGCTGTTCCGTAACGAAGCAGCCCATGCAGCCTGCTTTTGCAAACTCCAAACAAGTCGGGGTCCACCGAATCGGGACATGGCGGTGTCTAAACCTAGGCAACCCCTCCAAAATTGGTGGTGTCCCATCCATCCCAAAAGGAACCAACACGAGATTGCGCACGCACACCCAACTGCTCCTGGGACGGTAGGCTGGAGAGGTGCTCACGGTTCCCCAAGGCTCCGACGAGCAAACAAGCCAAGCGAAAGCCCTTTCACCGGAATCCAGTTCGAACATTTGGAGCATGTCCTGTCGTTCGCCTTTTGGCGTTTCAGGTTTCCCTGCCACTCGCCCCTCTTTCAGGTTCTCCGCACCCCTCGCGCCTGCGGGCTTCGGCTTCGTGCCTCGCGGCGTTAAACTGCAGAGGCTCAACGCCGCGGACACTTCAAGCAATACATGCTTCGCCCCCGAAGCTGAAAAGCGGTTGCTTTTTTGGGACAGGGTTGCGGTGCATGCGGGTAGGTACTTGCCCACACGTGGGCACAGCATGCAGTAGCATTTGCAGCAGCAAGCAGTCAGTCGAAACTGCAAAACACAATGAAACGTAGCATGCGACAGCATCACCTCTGCTTCTCAAACGATCATGTGGCATCGTTGTGTCTGCTTCCAACAGCAGTCTGAATCTACATTTGGAAACATCAAGACTTCAAAGGAACCAGCATCTACAATGGCGTCGTTTTCCTGCCATCCAGTGGCTTGAAACTTCATTCAGAAAAGTAAGTTCCCTGGAGCACAGAATGCAATCACTTCGCTTTGCTGCCATCTTCAGAAACTGACTCAAAGACCCAGTGGAACTCAGCATGTAGTAAAGATGCGTTGGCATGCCGCAGGTCCAAGCTGCAGTTGAAACCACCATGGCACGTAGCATCATGCAATGCAGTCGTACCGCTTGTGGTGCCTCAATGCTTTGAAACCGGTATCGGAAAGCGTGTAGCATTGCCGCGTCCAACAGGGGATTGACATAGCAACAGGAAACTGCAGAGCCCCATGAGGCGCAGCATTCAGCAGCCCTTTTTCCTGACTTCCTTGCGTTTGAAACTGCAGATAGCTTGGACACCCGCGTGGTAAGCTGCCGCAGCGCATGTTGCTTGCTGCACTTGCGCTGTTGCGAACTGCGCTTGGCTTGTCTTGGTCTTGCAAGCTAGCCCAGTGGCAAGCCCCAAAAAGGATCTGCGCTGCACATCCCGGCAAGATGTTCATTCGGAACAGCACGACACAACAAAAACACAACCAAGACGGGCCATCAACACACCACCAAAACACCACTGGAAGCACAAGAAAACAACAACTAGCAAGACTCCACCTGAAAACCACCGACTCATGACCAAGACATTACCGGGACACCAAACCGCCAGGACAATACCAAAACGGTACCGGACACCAACAGAGCACAACCAGGACACAACCACCTACAAACCATCAGGATACCAGTAAAACACCGCCGCGGCGCAACCAAAACAGCGGGGCACTGCCAAACCAGCACCGGGGAAACACCAAAATCAATCTGGAACACCACAAAATCAAGAAATACCAAGGATAACACCACCGAGACAAAGACACCAAAGGGACACGACCACAAACACCACCGACACACCTTTGTCTTCAGGAGACGTCACCCCCCACCCCCCATAGCACACCGCCAGCGGCAAGGGGAAACATCAAGCCCTATATATGTTTCACGACCTGTGAATCCCAACAGCATACAACATCCACATGAACTTCACCACAATCATGTCAACCTAGGACCGAGAACGAGGATGCTGACAAATATGAACACCTGGAATACAAACAACAACCCCGGCAGGCAGCCCAACAACAATGTTTCAACACACATCAGCCTGCTCCCCAAAATTCAAGTGTTCAGCTTCCCAAACTGATGTTTTCTTACAGAAAACTGCCAAGTATCAAACCCACAAGAAGGTTAGTGCTTCAGGCCCCACATTTGAGCCCAAGACTATTTTCAGAGGTTCCTACAATGAAGTCTTGCTGCCTGCCCCCCAAATCAAAGTCTCAAAAGGAAGCTCCACCAATACTAAGTGGAACGGAACCTCAAGTCCACCAATGCTGAATGGAAGCTTCCAATCTCAAAAGGAAGCTCCAGCAATACTAAATCAAACGGAAACTCAAAATTAGCCCCAGCAATTCTTAGCAGTACTAAATCAATCGACTTGGATCAAGGAACTTCTTTCTGGGTACCTCCTTCGTTGACGGGGGGGTGGAGGGTCGCCAAGAGAACATCAGTTCTAAATCCCCACGGGGTAACTGAAACGGCAGCACCCGAGCACTCCCCATAAGGTGGTGGTTCCTGTTCATGAAGCAAATAATGTCTTGAATGGCCAAACTGTATCCTTTACTTGGATGTTCAACCCACTTAGGTAAATGATAAGCCATGCCAAGAGAACTAGCCCCAGTCCCCCCAGTAATTTAAACAAGTAAATCCGAACAAATTATGACCTACTCACAAAGGAGCCCTGTTTCCTCTGGCAAAAAAAACGGCCTGCAGGTGCGCCGCAATCGATGGCTTCACACTGGGCCTGAGATGGCGCGAGGGTTTGAAGAGCTCGGACCCCAAACCAGCATGGAAGCTCCCACTCCGAAATGGAGGACTTGGTTCCATTGACTAGAGGCCTTTTGGGAGCTTCCAGACCCAGGCCAAAACCCCCATGGTTGGTTGATAGGGCCGTTCCATTCTAGGGGGAACTTTCACTTTTGAGGCTAATAACCCCCCATTTGTATTGAAGATTCATCAAACCGGGGTCGGGATTTGGCTCTTATAGGCTTCAAAGCGCAGATGTCCAAGCTGGGTTGGTCAAGCTGAACTGCTTGGAGAAACACGTCTCCTGATCCGACATGTTTAGATGTCCAGGTCGAACCAAAAGCCATCAAGGAAGTCAGGCAGCAGCATATTCTTCAAGCGGCTTGCGACCCATGGTGTGGGATTATTGGAGGTCGCTTGCGGCGCCAGGGAGTAAATTGGTTGGACCTGATTGTCCGGTTCTTCATAGGTGTCTAGGAGCAGGTTCCAATCAGCTGTCAGGAAATCTGAAAAAGATCGGTATCTCCAGCTGAAGCCCGCAATCGGGTGCATCATTTATCCAAAAAACCAGCCAAATCGACCATTGCCAGCTCTGCTTGCAGAGTAGCAACCAGCTAAGCTGTTGTCCAAACGGAAGCCACAAATCAGATGTCAGGAAATGTCACCGACCACACTACTGTTGTGCGGCACTCTCTGTTGTTCCCTGGGAAGTCACTGCTGTGCCTGGAGGCAGGGGATTATGTGTCACAAGTGGTCACCAGGTTTGACTTTAATACGCGAGGCGTGTGTTCAGCTGGCAATGCACCGATGGACTTTCTTTCAGAACTCAAACCTGCTACGAACAAGCTGTAGGCACAGGATTTGAAGTCAATCAACAAACACAGTCTAGTGATATTTGCAGAGCTTGCTCCGTGACTATGTCGAGTAGCAGATGCTGCCAAATGTTACAGACTTCAGCGTGCTGCAGAGTGGCTCAGCATGTTTAGCAAGGCTGCAGGACTGGGTGGGTCATGAATGGTTGGGGCGCATCATGACGCTGAGCAAAGTCATTGCTTTGCATGCATCTCAGGCCCTGGTTCGACCATCCGTCAAAGGAGATTGGATCAGTAGCTAGGTCCTCCGGTAGAGAGGTTAGAATACGGATACCTTTTCTCTGTAGTCTATTTCAGTAGAGGAACCCTCCCCCCAAAACGGGGCAAAAGGGCACTACTGGGGGACCTACTGTGGATGGACGAAATCCTGCACGACCTAAGAAACCCTAAAATGTTGATTCCTGTGTAAGTACCAACCAACCATGGGTTCGCATGGTTTCCAAGTGGTGCAGGATTTCGTCCATCCACGGTAGGTAGATAGTTTCCCTAAAAAGTCACTTCGCCTTGCGCGCGAGTTTTCCGAATTTCGCGACCCGCCTGACAGGCTGGCTGGCGCTGGGCCTGGGATGCGAGGCACCCAGCGATTTGTTCACCAGCTATGACCTCATATGACCTCTGGCCTCAATTAAACCATGCAACCTGAGTTTTGTTTTTTTTTTTGGGGGGGGTCCCTGGTTTAGACCTTTATTTTTAATAAAAGGACCGGGTCCCACACAGACGTCAGAAGTGGTACTCAGCGACGCGTCGCAAGCATGATAAAACGCATCCTTAGCTCAGCCCCATGCTTAGCACAAAGTTGCTTCCCTGACTCTGGAGCAAGCAACAAATTCAGCTGTGAGCCCTCAACCAATGATTGGATGAAGTCAGGGCCATCCAGCATTTTAACCCTACACAAGTCAAGGGACCCCCCATGGAATGATGAAACCAAAATGGGGGAAGGGGGGGGGGTGAACAAGTAAAACCGTCTTGCATTTGCATTCGCAGCCTCGCCTCGCCATTGGCAGTGGTGGCAGTGGCCGAGGGCAAGGCCTGTGCATCGGCAAGCCTTTGTTTAAACAGCCTCCTTTTGGTTTCCTGATTGCATGCGACAGGGCCGGACTCTCCAATCTGAGGCGCATCGCCACTGGCATGCACACCAACAAGCAATGGTTGCCTTTTCTGACCTGCTGAG